GAAAAGGATGGCAGGCGCCGCCCTCCATGTGAGGCGGTCTATGGCCAGGGGGCATTTCACGCCCGCGGCGCATTCGGCCGGCCCCCCACGAGGGGAACCGCCAACGGCAGGCCGCAGGCCACACGCGGCAGGCGGGAGATCCCCCTGGCGTGCATGCGTGTCCGGAGGCCGGGCAGCCAGCCGTGCGCAGGCCCCCGGCGCGCACCCGGGCACGAGTGCACATCCTGCAGCCGGAGCGAGCGCGGCCTGGTGTCCTCCGTGCGCGGGCGGGCCCCCGGCAGGGGGGGGGGGCAGGCGCCGGGGGCCGAGAAGCCCGCCCCCGCGGCCAAGCCCACAGGCAGGCCCGAGCAGCGAAAGCCCCAGGAGCGGCGAGGGCCCTGCCTGGCCCACGCAGGGCGCCGCGCCGGGCCGAGGCCGGAGCCGGTCCCTCGCGGCGCCCCCGGCGGCGGGTGGCTGGCCACGGGCCCGGGTCGGGGGCCACAGGTGCGGGCGCCGGTGGCCTCCATGCGCATGGGCTATATAAAGGCGACTGTGCGCCACGCACAACAGTACCGGGGCCCGGTTGTGGGGTGGCGGGAAGAGGCCCGTGCCGGCGGGGAGCCCGGTGCGCGGCAGCATGTACACCCGCGAGCTGGCGGCGGCCCTGCCCCGCCGGGCGGGCCCCCCAGCGGGCTGACCTCCACCTCCGGGCACCGGGGCGCCTTGGTCGGGGCCTCGACCGAGACCGAGGCCGGCAGCCCGACTGCCAGCCGCTTTCGGGGGTCGCCTTCGGCCGGACACGGCCACCATGCCGACCTCGGCCGTGCCCCCGCCGGCCGCGGCCCGGCCGACCGCCCTGCGACTCGAAGGGAAGCGCCTCCGCGCGAAGAAGGGCACGGTCAGCAATGCGAGCACGGCCGGCAGGCCACCCCGCGCCCACGGTGGACATACCTGGCCCAGCGGGCATGAGCCACGCCGCGATGCAGCACACGCCCCGCACGGCCGGCAGGGCGCCGCAACCGGTGAAGCGCGCGGCGCCACGGCGCACACGGCCCTTCGCCAGGAGCAGCCTGCCCGGCGCACGGCCCATGCCCGCCGAGCCCGGCCGGAGCGTGCCGGCCTCGCCCCGGGGCACGGGCAAGATCCCCAGCCGCTGGGCCCACCTCGGGCAATGGCTGGCCACCAGCCGCCGCAAGAGGGCCGGCCCGCTGGCCGGAGGGGCCACCGCCGCGGCCGGCAGCCCGGCGAAGTCCCACTCCCGCAGGCGAGCCACTTGCCAGCGAGAAAGCCCCCCCCCCCCCCCCCCCCCCCCCCCCCCCCCCCCCCCCCCCCCCCCCCCCCCCCCCCCCCCCCCCCCCCCCCCCCCCGGGGCCAGGACCGAGGCCCGAAGGACGGGACCGTCACGCCTATGGCCAGCATGCGGTGGCGCGGCAGGCCGCCCCCGGCGCACACCCATGCAGCCGGTCGCCTCGAGGCCGATGCCGGTCCGGCCACAACCGGCCCCGGCACGCGGGGCTGGCCACACGCGCCTCCGCCGCGACACGCTCGACCGCCGGCAGGGCACACCCGGCTGCACAGCGGCGGCCGGCAGCGCCGCAGCCCCGGGGCCCGGCTGGATTCCAACGCGCCTCGGACACCCGGGGCAGGCGGCCGCCACCCAAGAAGGGCGCCGGTCGCCGCGCCCAGCACCGCCGCATGGGGCGTCGGCCGTAGGCCGCCCGCCGGCCGGGGCCGCGACACCGCGAGGCACGGCGCCCGCGGCCCCGGGGCCTGGGCCCGTGGCTGTGCCCGGCCGGCCGCGCCAGGCCCAGGACCCGGCACCCGCCGGACTCCCGGCCCCCCGGCCCACCGACCTGCCCCTGGGCAGAAGAAGGACAGGGAAAGACACCGGCCGGCCTCCGCGCGATCTGGGCCGGGGGGGCCGGAGGGGGGCGCCCTTCCGCGGGGCCCGCATGCCCGGGGCCAGCGCGCCTGGCCCGGGCCTCGCATCCGGCCCGGTATGCCGGGCGAGAGAACGCGCGGGCCCCGGTCCCCGTGCGGCGACCCCGCGGCACGTACGTTGGCATGCCTGCCGGCCATCCAGCAGTTGGCCCGATTTCGCGAGCGCATGCGCCGCTCACGCCACCGGCCGGGGGGCGGCCAACACGCGCCGCAGGGCGGCCGGGCCCAGCCCCGGCTGGCGCCCCCGCCCGGCCAGACTCCCCCCTGGGCCCGGGCGAGGCGCGACGCAACGGGGCCACTACCCCTGCCCGGGCGGGGCGCGCGGACGCGCACGAGCAGGGGCCGCGCTCCCCCCCCCCCCCCCCCGGACGCAACCAGGCATGCCAGCAGGACGGCACCGACTAGCCCGGACGCCCGGCCCCCGGGCAACTTCGCGGCTGACCGCAGCCCCCTGCGTGCGCCTGCCCTACTCGGCCGGTGAAACCTCCACAATAATAGACATATATATTCACACCATTGATATAGCCCCGCATATTTGCTGCCCATGTTTATGGATGCGTCTCGCCGGGGGGGCCCCCTCGCCCCCTTTCCGGAGATGGGCTGCGGTGGTGAGAATGTGTTCGCCATTGCCCGGCCGCCGGATTGTTGTGAGATTGTGGCCGCCCCTCCCGGCCGCCCCTCCCGGCCGGGGGACACACCAGACCGCCACGCTGGCCGGGCCGCCGGCGGGGTGCACCCCGCCGGCGGCACTCAAGGGACGGCTTGCCCAGCGGCGGCCCAGCGCCAGGACGCCATCTCATCGGTCTTTCCCCCGCCCCCTCCTCCCTCACTCGCCGACCCCTTGCCAGTCCTCGCCTCCTCGTGCCCCCCCCCCCCCCCCGCGGGCCCCCCGAGACGCATCCATAAACATGGGCAGCAAATATGCGGGCCTATATCAATGGTGTGAATATATATGTCTATTCCCGGCCCTCCCCCCCCCCCCCCCACCCCCTCCCCGGCACCCCTCCTCACCGGTGCGGACCCCCGGTCGCACCCGCGCACGCTCCTGCCAGGCCCTCGCGCCCGGCCTCGCGTCCCCGCGCGGTGATGGCCAGCCTCCTCGCCGGCCGCCATCGGCCCTCGGCCCTCGCGCCGGTGCTGCCGGCGCTGCTGCTGCTGCTGCTGCTGCTGCTGCACTCGGCCGCCCGCGGCGCGCCGGACTTCCACACGGTCTGGCTGCTCGACAGCGACTTGTCCCCCACCCGGCAGGCGGACATTGTCTTTTGCGACTTCTTCTCCCAGAGACGACTGATGATCGGCGGGCCGGATGGCTTCGACGACATCTTCTACCAGAAGGTCCACTTCTCGGTGCGCACGGCGCCGGAGGGCAAGCGCCGGGGCGACTTCGCCGACCCGCGCCCGGTGCGCTTCCTACCCGGCGACTCCCTGCCCAAGACCTGCTTCACGGACTATCCCTTTGCCCCGGGCGGCCCCGCGCCGATGGCCCTGTATGCGGGCCTGGTGACCAATTGGGTGAGCGAATTCACGTCCCTGGTCATGAGCCACAGCATCGGCATCTTGCTCAATGATGACATCGGCCTCCGGCGGGCATTCTCCGGGCAAACCTTTGTCATGGTCTTCGACCGGACTGCCCCCCCGCGCATGGAGCCCCACATGCTGAGCCTCGTTGACGGGGCCCTGACCCTGATCCGGGTCATGGACCTCTCGGGCAGCGCCGTCAACGACGCCTTCGGCCTGCGCGGCATCGGCCTGCTGACGGCCACCGACCTGGACGCCAATGGCCTGGTGGACGCGGTCATGGTGGCCGCCTCGGATGCCCTCCACCCGACCGGCCCGCAGTCGGTCTACTGGCTGTCCAACATCGGCCGGCCGCTCGCCGGCGCCAGCGACCTGGCCGACCTGTCGCTGCTGTACCAGCTGCCGGCCGGCTTCCGCGCCGGGCAAATGGTCGTCGGCGACTTCGACGGCGATGGCCACGCCTCGGACCTGGCCGTGGTGTCCGGCGCCGGGTCCACCGCCCCGGAGCAGGTGATCTTCCTGCTGACGTCGGACCTGGCGGCCCCGGTGCACCTGCTGCTGGCCGACATGGTCGTTGATGATTTGGCCCTGGCCTCGGTGGCCGTGGACCAACGGCAGCCGAAGATCGCCCGCGCGCCCGGGCTCGCGGCCCCGGGCCATGACAGCCTGCTGGTGGCCCACGGCAGCCGGGTGTGGCTGGTGCCGGGGCCGGTGCGGCCGGCCGGCGGCCGGCCATCGGACCTCGGCCTGCTGGAGGCCCACGGGGCCGGCCTGCTGCCGGACTTCCCCACCCACTCGGACGTCTGGTGGTCGGTGGCCACCGGGGACTTCGACGGGGACGGCCATCTGGACGTGGCCCTGGCCCACGGGTCCATGGGCGGGCAGGTGCTGCTCCTGTCGCAGGTGGCCGCCTCGCCGAACTGCCTGTGCGGCCCGGGCGCCCGCTGCCTCCATGGGGGCTTCTTCGAGCAGCCCACCTGCCAGTGTCTGGACCCGAATGTGGACCCGGGCACGGACTTCGCCCCGTGCGAGTTCTGCCGGCCGGGCTTCTTCCGCGCGACGAACGGTGCGTTCGGCCACCGGCCCCCTGCCCCCTGCCGGGGCTTCCCATGGTGCCCGAGGCCCGGCATCCGGACACTGACAGCCTTGCGGCCGCTCCTGCGACTTGCCCCGGCCCTGGGCCCCCTGGCCGGCGCGGCCGCATCCCCCAGACGCCCCGTGCCAGCGGTGCCATGACACGTGTGCCGCGTGCACCGGGCCCGGGCCCGGCGACTGCCGGGCCTGCCACGGGCCGCAGCTGCTCCGCCGCGGGGCCTGCGTCGACACCCCCGAGCCGGAGGTGACGGTGACCCGCTCGGCCCCCAGTGCGCGGGTCTTCTATGAGGCCACCCCGGCCGGGGGGTTCCCCATCCCCGGCGGGTCATTCACTTCGGTCATGCCCTTCCTTGCCGACGCCCCGATGGGCGCCTCCATGGGCACGGTCGAGACAAACGTCCGCCTGCGGCTGGAATTGACGGACTCCCCCCCGCCCGAGGGGCTGAGCTTCCTCAGGAACTATAGCGCCAACAGGTTGCTGACCTTCCGGCGGACGCCCCTGCACGGGGGCCTCCAGGCGGTGGCCGAGGCCGAAGCCCCGCTCAACTCCCATCCCCTGGTCAAGTACAACCAAAAGCTGGCCTTTCTGCCGAACAGCGGCGCCATCATGACCTGCGCCCAGGCCAACCTGGCCGGCCAGTGCCAGCGCATCCAACAAAATGACGGGCTCTCCCTGGAGCATATCACCATCGGCCGGCTGGCCGGCGAGCCCGGGCCGGACGCCATCATGCGCGTGTACAATGGCCCGGCCTTTGGCTACCGGGCCATCACCAATGGCACCCTGCTGTCGGTGCACTGGGCCGCGGTCGACAATGATTTTGGCATCGAGACCATGGTGGTCCTCGACCAGGAGGTCACCCTCAACACCGGGCCCGACTTCGGCCCGGCCGGGTCCTGTACCCTGCGCTGGTTCCCCTTCCAGTCGTTTGAGGTGTCCTCGCTGCCGGCCCTGCCGGCCGAGGTCCTCCTGCCGGCCATCCCCTGTGGCAGCCTCATCCCGGTGATGCCGGGCCCGGGCCAGCGCCCGGGCTTCCTGCTGGTGCCGCGCGTGCCGGTCCCCCACGAGGGCGACCAGGTGGTGCTGTTTCTCCTGCGGAACACCGCCACCGGGGCGCAGCACATGCGGCCGGATTTCCCGGCCCCGGTGCCCCTCCTGACCTTGGGGCATTTGGCCGACCGGGGCGATTTCCCGGGCACTGGCCGGGCCCTGGTGGCCCAGTCCGACCCGCTGGTCATGGGCCCCGGCCGGGCGCGGGTCTTCCTGTGGACCGGCGCCTGGCTGCTCCTGGTGGATGTGACCTTTGACCAGGGCGAGGGGCCGGCCGCCAGCCATGCGGTGGCCGTGGCCCATGAGCCGCTGGTGCCGCGGCACTCCTTCGGCCATTTTACCGGCGACCCGGTGTACATGGCCGTGCTGGAAGTGGAGCAAGGGGGCCCCAGCTCGGCCGTGGCCCTGCTCAACATGCGCACCCGTGTCGGCGCGGTCTTCCACCCGGGCACCCGGGACAATGGCTGCGGCTGTGGCATCCTCGGGCAATGCCTTCCCCCGAGTGCCTGGCATGAGGGGGTGGCATGCTCGTCGAACTTCGGGCCCGGGGACAGCAGCCCCCCCCCGAGTGTCGCCACCAATGAGCACTGCATCTACTTCCCGACCAGCCTCCGGGTGGGGGACTTGTGCCAGTGCGCCAGCGGGTCGGCCCCGTTGGATGTGCCGGCCGGCGACCTGTGCGAGGCATGCCAGCCGGATGCCAGCGCCTCCGGCACCCCGGTGCATGCCACCACCGAGGCCGCCTCCGGCCCGCTGGACATGGGGGCGGCCGCCTGTGACGCCTGCCCGGTCGAGGGGTGCCAGCTGTGCCAGGGGCCCCGGTGCATCCGCTGCCAGCCGGGGCTGATGCTCACCGAGTCCGGGCGCTGCGCCGCCCGGTGCGATGTGCCCGATGCCCCGGTGCTGAATGGCCACCAGTGTCAGGCCCCCGGGCCGGGGGACGTCTGGCTGGCGGCCCAGCACATTCCCCTGCACCCGGCCTGGGCGGCCATGGAGGCGTCGCAAGTGTCGCCGCTGCGGGTGGCCCGCTCGTCGGCCGGCCACTCGGCGCTCCTGCTCTCGGCCCAGAGCTTCCTGCACCTGTCGCGCGTCCGGCCGGAGGATGGCCAGCGCGAGGACTGGATGGTCTCGGTGGCCGGGCTCCTGCCGGACGCGCGGCCGATCGAGCCGCGGGCCATTCACCCGGCCACTGCCATGGACTTCATGCGGGGCTACTGCACCGGCGGCACGAGCAGCGTCAACATGCTGGCCGGCACCCGGCCGGCCGGGCGGTCGGCCGGCCGATTGCCAGCCGGCCCCTGGGCCGGTCCTCTGCCCGGGTGGCTGGCCCCCTCGCTGTTGGGGGACCCCCCGGCCTGGGGCCAGTCCGGCCTGGCGGCCGCCAGCCCTGGCACCCCTGCCCCAGGGGCGGGCCCCCTGACCGGGGGGGCCTCTCCCTCCGCCGGGCGGGCTACCCCGGCCGCCGCCGCCGCCGCCGCCGCCGCCGCCACCACCACCACCACCACCACCACCACCACCACCACCGAGGCTCTGGTCTGGGACACCGTCGACAGGCAATTCATCGAGGCCTTCCCGAAGCCCATGCACTTGCCCTGGTTCGCCGACCTGGCCCGGGCCCCGCCCGAGGGGGCGGGCCTTGGGCCGGCCATGTCGACCGGGCCCCACCCGGCCGGCCTGGCCAAGCAGGCGGCCGGCCAGCTGGCCGGCTTGGCAACCTTCCTGTTGGCCATCGGCGGCCCGATGCCCCCGCCGCCGAGCATCCCCTCCATGTATTCCCGGCCGCTTGGCACTTGCGGCTTCGATGGCCGGCTGCTGGCCGAGCAATCTTACGTGCAGATCCAATCGTCCCTGCTGGCGGATCTCCTCGTCATTTCCACCGAATGGATGGAGCACTGCCAGGTGCTGGTCATCCCGCTGCCCTATCCCGAAGAGGAGATCTTCCTCCCGCTCGGGGCCACATCCTCCGACCTGATCAGCACCGCCTTCCGCTTGCAGCGCATCCCGGCCGGCAGCCAGCCCGATGCCCGCCGTGATGTCTACCTCCTGCCGGCGGGCTTCCTCAACCTGCACGGGACGGACAGCGACAAGTGCGACTACGTCTTGCTGGAGGTCGGCCCACCGAGCCCGGGGGCCCTGCCACGGCACACACACGTCAGTCTGATGGGCCTAATGCTGGGCAGTCTGGCGGCCATCCAGCTGGGGTCGGTGCGCGAGGTGGCCGCCTGGCACCCGGTCGACCAGCCGGGCATCCTCCTGCTCCACATGGATGGCGCATGCGTGTGGGCCCTGGAGCCGGAGGATGTGCACATCACCAACATCGCCATGGCGTCCATACTCCAGGGGGAGCACTTCGAGCTGGCCCTCCTCCGTGCGGATGGCCAGGCCGACAGCATTGTCCTGGTCGATGCCACCTGCATCGTCAGGTCGCACGCCTGCCTCTACGGGCCGGGGCTCTCGGACAACACCGGCAGCAGTGCCGGCGGCAGCGCCGGCGCCAGCGCCAGCGGCAGCAGCGGCGCCAGCGCCAGCGGCAGCGGCAACACCGGCTCGCGCAATGGCTACGGCTGTGGCATGCACGTCCTCGAGAGCGACCCCATCACGGAGGATGTGATGCTCCAGGTGCACGATCTGAATTCCGACAACCTGCTGGACTTTGTGGCCATCTTCCCGGCCTCCGGCCGGGTGGTGGCCTACATGGCGCAGGACAACACCCGGCGGTCCTTCCGCCGGGTGGTCATCCTCCCGGGCCGGATGGCGGCCGCCACCGGCGCCATCGGCCCCCGGCCGTCGGATGTCTTCATGGCCGATGTCGACCAGGATGGCCACATGGACGTGGTGGTGGTGGACCGGTCGGCCGGCGACGAGCAGACCAGCTTCACGGTGTACGGCCGGGCCGACCAGACCGCGGCCTGGTGCCCGCCCGGGGTGACCTTCGACCCGGTGGCCGGCCGGTGCGCCTGCCCCGGGGCCGGGCGCTTCATCAGCCCGGTGACCGACGAGTGCGAGTGCATCGAGCACGCGGTGCCGGCCGGGCCGGGCGCCGTGGACTGCATTTGCCCGGCCGGCATGCAGGCCGCCCTGTCGGCGTGCGTCTGCCAGCCGGGGCT